ACGCATGAAGGTACGAGTCAAAGACATTCAAACCGCTTTGACTCACATAGTACCAAAGAGGTTCGTGGTGCATTGTCGTGAACTCAGGGGCGCTCAAATCCCTGAAAGTGGCTCGTAGTGCATTGTTCTAGACGTGTAGATGCTCAAGTCGCATCAAAGAGGTCCAATATCCTCTCACACCCCCTTTCGAATTGAGCATCTCTGGAAAAATTCCCTCCAGTCTCGTCAGCTTTCAAAGCGAAGACAGCGCCGAAACCAAAAGGTAAAGCCACAAGCTTCTCAATTCACTTCAAGACCCTCCGAACCGTTGACTCGGAGTAGTAGCCACCATCGCCCAAACGGCCATCAAAGATCATCTCATAGGCTTGCAGAAAATCACCAAAGTCTCCTGCCGGCCCAGTCGAGCCTTTCAAACGCTTGCACCAAGCCACATAGGCCTCATGCTTCGGGTCTGCCACAATCTCCTTGTAGCTGAGCCCTGAATCCTTCAGCTTGCCAAAAGCAATCACAGTGCGGGACCATTCCACAAAGCTGTCAACCCCTTTGGGGAGCAAATGCTTCACTTTGCCCTCGTCTGCAATCGTCACATCCATAGCTGCAAGGGTGGCCACACGATCCTTCGGTGAACCGGGAAATGGGACTTCCTCAAATTCATCACTCTCAAAGTCAACCAAGCGCCTCTTCGCAGCATCCGTCATGCTACCTGCAGTCTGCGTGACGCAAGGTGGCACAATGCCTTGGCTCCTGCGAGCCAGCATCACCTGCAAGGCCTTTTCATCAGCCTCGGACCATGCACCTTCGGCCATGGCTTCTCACAAGGTCGACCGGCTAGAAGCGCAAAAGAAGCTGTTTCCAAACAAAACCGGCCAAACAAAAGAAAGGAAACTCAACGGGCCCGCATTAGGCCTCACACGCACACACCACAACACACACTCGGAAAGCGTTTCAGGTACACCTCTCTTTGAGAGTCACTTCACCCCAAAACCGGCAACGACGTCACGAGTTCACAAACTAAGTGCAAAACAAACATGACTGCAATTCCAAGTGTGATGCTTGATGCAAAAAAACCGAAAGTCACAAGAAGCACTATGTTAGAGGCGTCTTAGACGTCTTACTTGCATTCATTTTCGCGTTTCGCGATTTATGGTGTTTGCTGTAAATGCTTGCTCCTTGCTCCTGATCCTCAAGCGAATTAAGTTCACTGCCAGCTCACTACCAAACTAAGGTTCACAAACGATCGGTCCTCAGGGATCTCTTCGCGCCGCTTTCATAGCATTCAAAATGCCTCTTGACAAAGTAGGAGAATAGAAAGCAGTCTTTGAGTAGTCTGTATCTGAAAATGCTGCGTGTTCTGAACAAGTGCACTTTCCAAATCTCTTTGTCAACGATGCGCAAAACCCTCTTGAGGACGAAACGAAACTAAGCTTCTTGCCCACTGGAGTCCCGGACCTACCTGAGTATCCTGCCTGACAAAGGTTCACAACACTCTGATGCACTAGACCACATCTCTCCATCACACGAAGAGTAAGTGGCCTCCCCCATATGTTGTTGTACAACGGGAGTTCAAATGAGCCCACATCACCAAGCCTCAGGTAATGCGTGGTTGCTTCCATGACTTGTTCCCATGTCTGCTGTTCTTCGGAAGACAGTTTCTCAGTTTCTCGAAAGTGCTGCAACGGTGAACCTGTCTTACATGGTGTGGATACGCGCACATGAATCCAAAACCCTTGGCTCCTTTTCATCTTTACCAAGTGGGCAACCCTCTGTTTGATTCCTTTTGTTTCCATGTTAGCCGTGATCCCAACATACATAATGTTCGATCGCTCACAGGCCAACCTCAAGTTGGAATTCTCAGTGCAACACACCTCAACCATCAAGTAGTCTGGGTTGTTTGAACCTGATGCCTGATTGCTTACATGAAACGCTTCAGCCAACAACCACAGCTCATTCAATGGCATGTCCGCTTGCATGAATCCCAACACCGCTCGATGTCGAAGGAAATCACGTGTTCCGAGACACTTGGTGAAAAGATCTGCCACATTCTGTGTTCCCGCTCGATGTCGAAGTTGCACCTCATTGGAACTAACACGTTCCTTCAACCATGTCAACTTGATATCAATGTGCCGGGAACGACGTGGAAGATCAACAGCACCAATCAACTGCAACGCTGAGCTGGAATCTGATTCCAATACAATGTCCACCTGTTCCTTCTCGTCAATCTCTCCCAAGCCAAAGAGAACGCGATGCACAAAATGGGAGAAGGCAACTGCCTCCTGTGTGAGATGCTGAATGGCATATAGCTCAGCCTCACAAGACGATAACGAAGTGGCCTGCTGTTGCTTTGCCAGAGATCGAATCAAGCCTGCCTCGACCATAATGACCCCTCCAGTGATGCCTTTTCGCTGGTTGAATTCATATGGGGCATGTGATGCGTCTGAAAAGGTGTGTAAGAAAGTCACCATGCCATCATGGTCTGTGAGTCTCACTCCCTCATACTCTGGAGATGGAAGACGAAGGACTGTGTTTCGATCTGTGAACAAATACCTCAATACTGCCCTAATGGCCGCTTCTGTGCTTTGTGTTGGGGCTGACTGCTGTGTACCAATTAGTGATAGCCATAACTTGAGGTCTGCTCTACTCTGGGCTAACCAAATGAGGCGACCGAGTCCCCGACGAAACCGGGAGTACGCTTCCGACGACAATGGTGTTTTCGATGATGCATCCTTCTTTTCCAACAGGCCTGCTATGTTAGGCACAGCACTCGATCCTTGCGTGGTTCCAAATTCTTTGAAAGTAGGGTTGAGATACTCTGGATCTACTGCTACAAAGATCGCTTTCTCCTGGGGCCTTCGATAAAGATGTCTCCCAATGAATGACACCTTTCCGCCTCCTTCATCTGACGGAAGAATCTGTCCAGTCACCTTGGTTGGTACAACTGCCGAAATGGCATTGATCACGCTCCTTTCTGCCTGCTCTGTAGAGGTGCACAACAAAATGTCATCCACGTACACCATGAGCATGCCGACACCCAGCACCTGAGAGTCTTCACCAAAGATTTCTCCCTGGTAAATACAGGGCTCAGGTTCGTCTGACCACAATCCTTGACTTTTGACAGTCTCACTCAAAAGATTCAACCACCTCAGGCTCGCATCTCTCAACCCGTTGAGCGCTCGATCTAAGTGGAGATACGCCACACTGCCATCAACCAAGCTCACAGACAGCGGAAGTCTCAATAAGATTGTCTCGGAGCTCGGAAGGGGAGAGTGCATGAAGGCGTGACTGATATCTAAGGTCTTCACTCGAAAATCCCTGCTAGCGCTCAAGGAAAGGAGAAGAAACAACCCTTCTACACTGGGAGTGGGTGAGCTGTATCCCATGGCCCTAGCCGTCGTCCCCCTTTTAATATCCTTTGCCACAATCCGCGTCCTGACTTTGACTGGGGATTTCTTAGCGCATACCCATCTACTAGGTATTACTCTTGTGTTTTTGTTCAGTCTCTTCAAATCGTTCATTTGTTGTTCACTCAAGAGTTTCCCCGCCTTGCACTTCTCCAAATTGCAAATTTCCTCCAACATGCCCTCGAAACCCAACTTAGGTTCTAAGGCCTCCAACGTGCTGTCATCAATGACATGATCAGGGCGCCAAATCAAAACCTTGCCTCCCCCAAGAGTGAGCTGCTTGGACACATGTTCCTTTCCATGATCAAATTGTATGGCACTGATCTCATCCAGAACTAGTGTTGGTGACGTCATTTGAACCCTAAAATCCAAAGATTCTACTAATTCACCGGAGTCAAAACAAAACAAGTTCAAGGAAGACAAGATTGAGTCTGTTTCCACAGCTTCAGTATTCGCCCTGGTCGTTTCTTCCAAATCTTGCACTGCCGTATCAGCAGCTCTTTTGAACTGTCTGGTGTATTCGGCCTCCAATGGTACCGGAAGATTCTGGAGATTTTCCTGTGCATCAAAGGCTGCCCTGCGACGACGGCACTGCGCTGAATGCCTGATTCCAGGCGCAACCATTCCTGTATCGCAAGCGGGACAAAAACGAGTCGGTTGAAACACCCTGGGTTGTGGTTCACCAGCAAGTTGGCTAGGAGGTGTTTGTCGCACAGCCGACTCTGACTCTGGAACAAAAGAAGGTTCTTCTATTCTAGGTACTTTTGGTTGACTGGCCTCAAACGCTTCTTGCTGATGCATGCGCTTTCTCTCTTGAGGCACGGGCACACCCTCAGGTCCTGGCAATGGCAATCGTGGTTCCTGTTCCATACCTTGCGGACGGGAAGCTGAACTAGCTGCATGCTCGGCCTGCGGGGGATCGGCCAGCGCTCCTCTCGACACATGAACATCCTCAACCTCAATCGGGTGACCACTCATGGTGATAAACCCTGCTCCCATCTCTGCATCCCACTTCAATGGGAGAATTGGTCTCACATTTCTAGCAACAAATTGATGCAAAACAAGCTGGCCTTCAAACCGCACAAACCCTTGGACCTTGGGTCCATGATCAAGTCCTGCGTGCAAATACGCCGCTTCGATACTCCGAGTTTCGTTTGGAGCACGAAAACGAACTGCATCTGGTAACTCAGCCAACACTGTAGCACCATACAAAGTCGATGTGGGTTTGCTAAGTCGCCTGCCGCAAACAGTCTCCAACGGTGAAAAGTCTGAACTAGGGGTCTTGCCGAAATGATTGTGAACTAAGGCCAAATACGTCAATGCTTCTGCCACACTGTCTGGCGTAAAGTTCAAATCGACTCCAGACTTGTTCAAGTCAGCTCGCAAAACACCCAAGCTCTCCTTAAGCCTTCGAACGGCACGTTCCGCTGCACCCACACTTCGGTGCTGCTGTGGATTTGCCTTTCTCACTAGAAACGAGATCTTCTCTGAGCAATCTGAAATGAGATCTCCCACTGCCTGTTCCGCGTCAGTGCGTAAAACCACTGACGTGGCCCCTGATGTCGATGCCAATCCAAATAGCTCCATCCATTTGGAAATCCTCTTCTTGACCGCCTTGAGGTCACTTGTGACAACGATGTATCCAACTGCATTCGACACCAGTTCTGTGAGAACTAGAATTTTGATATTTCCCAAGCCTTGGTCATCTTCCAAAATCTCACCCTGGCTCTTCAAATAACAAAAATCAGCTTGTATCTCACACTGCAACCGTTCCTGCGATCGTCGCCGATGGGAGAAAACACTTCGTCCTCGTGCACATTCAACGCAACCTGGGTGAAAAGGTGTGTGCCCTTGTGCACGGTGTTGCTCAAGTTCACGCGCTGCTGCTCGCGACAACGGGTAGACAGGAAGTTCATAGCCCTTCTCAGACACGGTCAACTCAGGAACACCTGCAATAGCAGACAGCGACAATTGCTGTGACCCTGACACCTCGGCCTCATCAGTGTTGCGATCCAGAGTTTCTAGAGGGTGGAGTCGAACCCAAGGGCAACCTGCAAAGTATGCTACCTCGCCTAGACGCTGACCAGTCGCGCTGTGTGTGACCTGGAAACCTTCATTGCTTTGTGAAAACTTCCAACCTCCAGCGCATAGCCTTGTGGTGGACAGGATGTTGTGCCTAATGTTCCCTACAAGAGCACGCAACCTTGCCTTCTTCCATGCGCACCCGTCCGCATTTAAGCCTGAAGACTTGGAATCATTACGCAACATCATCCAAACAGACACGGATGCCTCGCCTTGCATGTGCACCTGACTTCCATTCGCAGCCCTGTAGCGATCACCATCTACTGCTGCCTGAACATCATGCACCATGTACACATGTTTGCATGCGCTGCTCATGACCGTGGCACTCGCACCTGAATCTAATAACCACCAAGTGTTATCATCTGTCACCATTTCAGACAAGAGGGGCATTAAAACTGGTACCCACTTCACAGACTGAGCTGCAACTGACAACGTTTGTTTCGTCTCGTTCAAAAAAGTTGAAACACACGGCAAAAGAAGTCGAATTCGGAGAGGTTCAAGTGCACACAACTCTTGACTCGTCTCGTTTGCATAAACAACCCGTTTGTCGTCTCTCAAACCACACTGCACATACGAAGCATGACATGACTGTGGAATGCCCGATATTTGTTCGCTTGGAAAACTGACAGGACACCCATCCAAAAAGACCCCGTCCAAACGTCGACGTTTGGACCCCCCCCTCTTTTGCGGGGGAAGGGAAGTCAGACAGAGCCGGAAGAGCATGACATGAATGTGCATCTCCATGCGTCTTTTCGATTGTCGTTTCTCCTGCACTCTTCTCTAAGCCCTTTGCCAAAGGTCCGGACAAATCTGGACACTTCGAAGGCTCTGTCGCAGTCTCTGCGTCGTGCTCCGGTGGTTCCAATTCCAAACAAGGCCGCATTGACACAAAATCACAAAGGACAAAAACTGGTGAAAGAATCAAACTTCCAAGTGCATTTCCTTCTGACTTCACAGCATCCGTGCGATACTGAGTTTCTGAACCAAGCTCTCCGCCTGTGCCGTAGCCATCTTGACTGGTCTCAACCCAGCCAGAATGCCAATCCTCCTGCACGTGCCATGCCGCGTCACTCCAAGTCGCGGCTACCGGGGATCCATCTCCCCACCAAGACTCCTCACTGTCCCACCACAGATCTTCTGCGGTCCACTCAATTTCATTCAGTTTTCCTTTCTTTCCACCTTTACCTTTGCCTGCTTGGTTTCCGTTTCCAAATTTTCCTTTCTTGAACATGTCCTGTTTTACCCAAGAACTCTTTCGTCCGTCCAAACCTTTTGAGCCTTTGCCTTGACCCTTTCCTTTTGGTCCTGCAAAGCGAGATTGCGGGCAATTCATCGAGACATGTCCTGTCTGGTTGCATCGGAAACACTTGATTTTGGTCAAATCAACACTACATTCATGAGTCTGATGTTTCTTACTCCCACATTTTCCACACTTTTGTGCGGAACCCTGCAACTCATCAACAAACCAATTTTCGTCATTTTCACTCAAATCAAACCATTCTGCTCCTTGTTGTTGTTGCTGCTCCTCCTTGTGGTGTGTCACCTGAGATACCTTTTTGCCTCCTAAAGGGACCAAATCCGTAAACATCCTTTGCTGCTGTTCCCATCTACATGCTGCACTTCGGTATGCTTGGTAGCTTTCTCCTTCTGCATGGTGCAAAACATAGTTGCGCACGGTTTCTGGCAAACTGCGCACCAACACCATGAGCAAATCAGCTTCTGACACCTGTAGCCCTACAGCATCAACCGTCGACGGGAGTGTACTCAACAATCGCTGATATCTAGCAGCTTCAAGTTCGATACGTCGTACGGTATCACTCACGAGCGACGAAGGAGATGTTTCTTGAGCCGTGAGAACAAAACTTTTGGACGCCAACGCAGTTCGAAAAACAAGTGCTTCATTGCGTGTCCTCGAGGAGTATTCCTGCGTAAGCTGACGCAGAAGCTCATATCCGTTCGCACTGGTTCCTGCACTACCGTCAGAGGTCATGGCCTGAATGTCCACTCCTTCCATGAAAGCATGGATCAACGTGGCACTCCTGGGATGGCCCATGAACGTGGATCTCAAAATAGCCAACAAACGCATACTACGACTTCTCATCACCAACGTCATTGATGACCAACGGATTGGTGTGCTCCACCTAGACGCTTGCAGAATCTCAGTCCCAAACTGCAAAGATGCTTGGGACGCCCATGCTGACAAATCCGCCACATACTGCGCCCAATTGAGCACTTCACTTTCACGATCACGCCACTTCTCAAAGGATGGCTGAGGTGGATTTCCAATCCACTTGTCCGTCCGTGAAAATGGATCATTCTGGTTCCAACCACTGTCACTACCTGCACCATCAGCTTGCTGCCGTGCACTCTGCGCTTCCACTGGCAACGGCAAACCTGCCGCCAACAAGTCAGGCATGAACGGTTCTGCTGGCGCACTCCGTACTTGTCCAAACAAATCTGGTTGCGCATGAGTCCTTCTCCGAACTTGTTCTTGAAAGTATTGAGCTAAGGATAGGACCTGTGCACCAGACATACCCTCTGCTAAACGTACAACGTCTTGCACTCCAACCGGATTCACACCTAAACAGGGAAACAAAGAGCCACAACCTTGTCCTGCCTGACCTACAAAACCACTGCTACATCCAGGTCCTGGTGCGCAACTGCCACAGCAACCGTATCCTCCACAATTCCCAACTGAGATTCTAGGATCGCCACTTGCTAAGTTGGGCACTTGGCTAGGGAACTGACCCAGTCCTGGCGCAAAACCACTCAGGTTCGGACCACTGGGGTTCTGACTGCTAAGATTCTGACCAGCTAAGTTCGAGTGACCCCATCCTAATCCTGCTCCTGGCATGTTCGGCATGTGTGGTGCGTTGGGTGTCACACGACCTCTACCCTGCGAACCATTCACGCTACCTGGCGTACTCTGATTAGGCGTACTCGGGATCCGTGGTGGTGCTTCTGACATTCCGCCTTGCTCTAACAAGTGCGCAGGACTACTCGGGACGTTGCCTACTGCTGCTTGCGCGCCTGATTGCTGCATTATGCCCTGGAACACAAGACGCTACGTCTAGCGACCTTCGGAGCCCAGTGCTCCGCTACCATGCGAAGCTACGTGTACGCTACAAGACGCGTCGCGGTACTGCTACCTACAGCGTTCTTCCTTACACGAAGCACAGGGAGAGCCCGGGCGGGTGCCTTTAAAGAACAACGATCAACGAACTCGAACGTGTCGATCCCAAAAATGCAAATGACTCACAAGATCGGACTCCCCTCAACTTTTCCTTCACTCACACACACGCAAGCAAACGTGTCGTGTTCGCTTGACTTGTTCTGGCTTTACGTTGAGCTTGAGCCAACGTAAAAACATTGACTGCTCACATCAAGCTATGCAAAAGTCGACCACGTGGGTTCCTTTCAAAAGCATCATGTTGTGCAAAGTGAACTCCACATCAAGTGGTCGCAGAAAAAACCAACGTGCCAAATCCTCTTGAACTGTACTTGGCTCAAAACACTCCAAAAGCTACGCATGAAGGTACGAGTCAAAGACATTCAAACCGCTTTGACTCACA